ACATCTTCCACAAGTCCTAATTACGCTTACTGTAAAACCACCTGACACAAAGACATTTCACATCTCTTAGAAGCACTGAAAAATAAATTGCGTGACCACGTGGTGCAGCTATTTTTTCTTTCTGTGGAGAAAACTACTTTTGCCAGTAAAATCGCTGGGATGCTGGCTATCTGTAAAGCTGGTGTGAAGATCAGCATGACCAAAACACATCCACAAAAAGAAAGGAATAACTTTGCAACAAAAGTAGAATCCTTCTGTTTGGCACAGCCTACTAGAACATGCCACCTTTCCAAGCCAATGAAATCCTTACCCTGGGTGTGTGGCACTGAGAACTTGCAGGGTTTCTTAAATGGTAAAGGTCAATCTAGGAAGAGAAGCTTCTCCCGGTCTTTACACCAGAGATATTCAATCAGGAGCTTGGTCTGGGGAGATGGTGAGTTTTCTCTGTGCAGGCCAGTCTTTCCAGGCTCGGCTGTCCGTGGCCACTGGGCAAGGAGGTTACATGCCATCTCCAATATCAAAGCCTCTGCAGCAGCTGCTGGGGAACTCTGGATGGCTGTCACTGTCTGCACGTCTCACCTGCGCACGTGCCATTGAGGCACCCGATTGGCTCTGGGGGGAATCGGCATGCTGGACCACACTGGCCCTTGGTCTGATCCAGCACGGCTCTTGGCACGTGATGCTCACACTGGACACAAGAGGCACAGAGCAGCTTCTTTCCTGACAGGTGCCACTCGAAGTCCGATGAGCAGCACATGTGCAAGAGAAGAGGCCATGTGTGACTGCCCCGCTTCTTCCAGTCCAGGGGCTCATCCAGCAGGTTGGCATTGCCACTTCACCTTCTTGGGCAGCTGCTGGGGCACATGGACAGAGCGCACCATGGATGCCTGCCTGGTTTAGCCACTTTTTCCCCAGACCCCATCCTCTGGATTATACCAAGCACCTAAGTGTAGCTGCCATTTTGTTTACTCAGACTGCCCAATAGAGCATTGCTCTGGGGCACTGTTGGAGATTAAAATGGCGGTCCTCTGTTGCCTGGCCCTTCTGCACTCCAGGGTCTGCAGGGTAAGCCTGCCAGGGTCCACCAAAAGATTGCACTTTTCCCAGGGTTCTCTCGATGCAGAAGCCAGTCAACATTTTGAGCTTGGGAATGAGGGATAATTCCCAGTCAAGTGCTTTAGAAGGATGATGTTATGACCATGGGTTGAACCCAAATGAGATCCTGCCCCCTCACAGTCAAGTTAAAGGCCGTTCCTCCTCCTGATCGCTCTAGCTGCAATTAATATTCTTTGGAGTATAATCAGGCCCTAGCAAGACATGGGGTGATAACGGACCTTTCCAGGGTCGAATTATCACAAAGCAGTGCAAAACAGCAAAAACGTAAACATAAGAGACATGGCCCAATACTTTCTTCTAGGCACCTAAAAATTAGACTCTAGCAATATAGCACATGTTGAAGCTTGGCATTTAGCTTCAACACCCAACAGAAAAACCACAGCCATGCAAGGTCTTACAGCGGCTGCCGAAGAGGTCAAAAGTAAAAGTTTAGCAAATCTCCAGGTTCAGGGTTGAAACTGTTCAGCGTACAAGAACTGGCATAATCTGGATGGACTGGTGCTGTTCATGCCATTCACTCTTTATACAAAGCAGGTGACAAAACTCCCTTTTAGGATACACCTCATCATTAGGCCTCTTGCTTCCTTCCTTTTACTGCTATTTTTACCTCCCTTTTCAGCCAAAAAATCTCTGACAGCAGTTTACAAAATGTAATAGGACACTAAACATTAATTGATTTGCCACAGAAGAGCAAAAATTGTAATAAGTTAGGTTAAGAATCAAGGGCACCTTTTAAAAAGGTGCATTTGGTTCTAGTTCATTAATAGTAATAGAAAATGAACAAAAAGTGGCCTTTCTGTCATGCAATTAGTAATTTGTTTTTAAATTGTAAGCTCACAGTACCAAAAGGCAAAAGATATGACGCCACAAGATGAGCCCCTCAGGTCGGAAGGTGTCCAATATGCTACTGGGGAAGAGCAGAGGGCTAGTACTAGTAGCGCCAGAAAGGATGAAGCGACTGGGTCAAAGCTGAAAGGACACTCAGTTGCAGATGTATCTGGTGGTGAAAGGAGAGCCCGATGCTGCAAAGATCTATACTCCATAGGAACCTGGAATGCAAGATCCATGAATCAAGGCAAGCTGGATGTGGTCAAACAAGAGCTTCTTATTGCAAAATTTAGGCTTAAATTGAAGAAAGTAGGGAAAAGCACTAGGCCGCTCAGGTATGACCTAAATCATATCCCTGATGAATATACAGTAGAGGTGACAAATAGATTTAAGGAATTAGATCGGATAGACAGAGTGCCTGAAGAACTATGGACAGAGGTTCGCAACATTGTACAAGAGGTAGCAACTAAAACCATCCCAAAGAAAAAGAAATGCAAGAAAACAAAATGGCTGTCTGAGGAAGCTTTACAAATAGCTGAGGAAAGAAGAGAAGTGAAAGGCACGGGAGAAAGGGAAAGATACACCCAATTGAATGCAGAATTCCAGAGAATAGCTAGAAGAGATAAGAATGCCTTCTTAAATGAACAGTGCAAAGAAACAGAAGAAAACAACAATCGGGATGACCAGAGATCTCTTCAAGAAAATTGGAGATATGAAGGGAATGTTTCATGCAAAGATGGGCATGAAAAAGAACCAAAATGGCAGGGATCTAATAGAGGCAGAAGAGATTAAGAAGAGATGGCAAGATTACGCTGAGGAACTATACAAGAAAGAGCTTAACATCCCTGATAACCACAATGGGGTGGTCACTGACCTCGAGCCAGACATCTTGGAATATGAAGTCAAATGGGCCTTAGGAAGTCTGAGCAACAACAAAGCTAGTGGAGGTGACAGTATTCCAGCTGAGCTATTCAAAATCTTAAAAGACGATGCAGTAAAAGCGCTACACTCAATATGCCAGCAAATTTGGAAAACTCAACAGTGGCCACAGGATTGGAAAAGGTCAGTTTACATTCCCATCCCAAAGAAGGGCAACGCCAAAGAATGTTCAAACTACCACACCAATGCACTCATTTCACATGCTAGCAAAGTTATGCTCAAAATCCTACAAGCTAGGCTCCAGCAGTATGTGGACCGAGAACTACCAGAAGTACAGGCAGGATTTCGAAGAGGGAGAGGAACTAGAGATCAAATTGTCAACATACACTGTATCATGGAGAAAGCTAGGGAGTTCCAGAAAAACATCTACTTCTGCTTCATTGACTATGCTAAAGCCTTTGATTGTGTGGATCACAACAAATTGTGGCAAGTTCTTAAAGAGATGGGAGTACCAGGCCATCTTGTCCCTTGAGAAACCTATATGCAGGTCAAGAAGCAACAGTGAGAATGGGATACAGAACCACTGATTGGTTCAAAATTGAGAAAGGAGTTCGGCAAGGTTTTATACTGTTGCCCTGCCTATTTAACTTATATGCAGAGCACATCATGAGAAAGGCGGGGCTAGATGAATCACCAGTTGGAATTAAGATTGCTGGGAGAAATATCAACTACCTCAGATATGCAGATGATACCACTCTCATGACAGATAGTGAAGAGGAACTAAAGAGCCTCTTGATGCGGGTGAAGGAGGAGAGCGCAAAAGTTGGCTTGAAACTTAACATTAAGAAAACTAAGATCATGGCATCCGGTCCTCTCACTTCCTGGCAAATAGATGGGGAAGAAACAGAGGTAGAGACAGACTTTATTTTCTTGGGCTCCAAGATCAACGCACATGGGGACTGCAGCCAAGAAATTACAAGACGCTTGCTCCTGGGGAGGAAAGCTATGGCAAATCTAAACAGCATACTAAAAAGCAGAGACATCACCCTGCCAACAAAAGTGCTTATAGTCAAGGCTATGGTTTTCCCAGTTGCAATGTATGGCTGTGAAAGCTGGACCATAAGGAAGGCTGAGCGCCAAAGGATTGAGGCCTTTGAATTGTGGTGCTGGAGGAGACTCCTGAGAGTCCCTTGGACCGCAAGGCGATCAAACCGGTCAGTCCCAGGGGAGATCAACCATGACTGCTCTTTAGATGGCCAGATTCTGAAGATGAAACTCAAATACTTTGGCCACCTAATGAGAAGGAAGGACTCCCTGGAGAAGAGCCTAATGCTGCGAAAAATAGATGGCAAAAGAAGAAGGGGATGGCAGAGGATGAGGTGGCTAGATGGAGTCACTGAAGCAGTTGGTGTAAGCTTAAGTGGACTCTGGGGGATGGTGGAGGACAGGAAGGCCTGGAGGAATGTTGTTCATGGGGTCACGATGGGTCGGACGCGACTTCGCGACTAACAGCAAGCTTCATATTGTATCTGGGTTGCCTGGCTAAGATTTGCTATCTTGTGCCAACCCTTTTGGACAGATAGTCGTACTTGGCCCTAACCTTTGAAAATCTCCAGAGTTTTTGGTATTCCTGCTTCCTCTAAGTGAGACCCACACTGGCCTGCTCTTGAGACCTTGTAGCATCTTCAAATCTACCGGTCATGTACTTCACTTGCTGTGCCAGATGCCAAGCTGTGAAGATCCTGGACCATCACCATGCTCAGAACAAGTAGAGTTACGAATGCGGAAGTCCAGGAAAAAACCATCCATATCCATAAGAAATAGCAGAAATAGCAAAACAACATTATTTGCCAGGATGAGCTCACAGGTATGTTGTCCATACCTGTCACAGAGCATCAAAGTTCCCAAACCTGCCTAAGGAGACAATATTCCATTTACTGGGGGAAAGCATGGTATTTCGCCCGAGTTGGGGACTTTGTGAGGGCTGCCATGCGACGGAAGAACCTGAACAACTTATTGATCACTGGACAGCACGCTCAACCACTGGGGCCCTCCTCTGAGCGCCGAGAGGCTCAGGGGGTGGCAACGAGGGGGAGGGCCTTTTCTGTCATGGCCCCCAACCTTGGGAACAACCTCCCACCGACAGCCTGCCTAGTTTTGCCATTTTTATGATGCCAGGTCAAGACAGTCCTCTAAGCAAAGGCCTTTAAAGATCTCCTTGGCTATCCAAAGGCCTGAGGGGGTTATCTTGGTCCTTCTAACATTGTTTTGTTATTTGTATTGTATTTTATTTTGTTTTATACATTGTTGTAAACTGCCCAGAGAGAGCTTCAGCTATGGGGTGGTATAGAAATGGAGATGATGATGACGACGATGATGATATGATGATGATAGGAAGTGAAGAGCAGCTCCAGGCACATGCCAAACTGAGGCACCTGTGCATTCACAGTGTAGTAATATCCTTCCAGGTGACTTCTCTCAGGTCATTCGCTTGGGTAACACAGCACTGAGTTCGACCCTACGAAAATATTAATGTATATGGAAGGTCTAGTTGGGAGCAAGTTCTGCCTGTGAACTTGGCTTTAGAAGAGCAATATGCCAACAGAGAGCCCTGAAGGTCCTAGAACTCCAAATGGCTGCAGCATGAAGCTGAAGGCCACCTAGCAAAGCTTTTGGCAGTTAAAAGCAGCAAATGAGAATGTGAATATATAAATGAAGTCACACAACAGGAGGGGGTTAAGGGCACACAATCCCCCCATTCAATGGATCTCATGGCCTCCCAGACTACAACTGGGGAGCCCCAACTCTGAATCCATTGCTCACCTGTAAAGCCAGGAGGGTGGAACAAAACAGAAAGTGAGCCGCTCTGGCCAAGAGTGGGGATATAAATGGGATATAAATGAACAGCTCCCTATTTTGCACTGACAGTCAAAGGCACAGTAATATGTCACTGTGGTGCTTTACTGCAGCGGGGTCCATACCACCGGAGTAACCATCCTGCTCTATGGGAAGGGTGAGGAAGGATGAATCCCCATCTTTCTGCCCAAGCCACTGAGAGGAGAGAGCGCTGAGAACCTCACCCTGCTCTTTGCACAGTTCACGGTGATCTTTGTGTTGTCTCCTGCAGGCCGGTACGGAAATGCAGGGGTCAGTCACCCCAGATGCTTGTCTTGGCGCCGAAAAAGACATTACTTTAAACCGGTGTCCACCCAGATCCTTGCTTGCATTTTCACTTGACTGCTCATCCCCTTCAGATTCACATTGGGAGCCTAGCAGGGGGTGCAGGGGGTTCTGAGGATTTAGACTGGGGGTCCTATTCTACCTATTCCAAGTGGGGCAGAGATGCAGCTGCTAGAAGCAAATGAATGCCTTTTTTCTGTCCCTTGGTCCCCAAGAAAATGCAGCTTCCAGGAAGATCCTACCAGCTGACCTATCTAACGGGAGGAAGTGATAGCAGGAGCAGGCAGGAACAGGGGCAATTAGCCAACCACATCCCCCAAAGCGTCTTGTTCTTGCAGAAATGCCATCAATCCTATGCATGCCCTGGAATCCCTCAGCTAAGAGCAGTTTCAGCTTGCAGTCTTCCTTCCTTACACTTCTTCTGGCTCAATTGCTCACAATGCAACGGAAGCAGAGTTAATTGATCAAGGTGCCAAGCAGAAGAGATTCCTTTCAATGGGGGCAAAAGTAACGTTGGTGGTTGTATTCTAAACACATACACAATTATAACAACAGTGGGAAATGCTGGACTTGATCAAAATAAGCTCTTGCAAAAATAAACTGCCACCTCACATACACAACTAAAGTATTTGGAAATGAGGCAGTTAAATTGGTCTTCTATATTTATGTATTAGTATTATAATCTATTAAATATATCAAGTCATTGCCCCAACAAACAGGGACGTATATAGCATTTAAGCAATGGGTGTGACGAGGTCTACTAGGCCTGTCTAGGCAGAAGCAAGCCACACTGCGTTCAGAGGCACCCCTACCAAGGAGAACCCACTGAACTGCATGGGAATTACTTCCAGGTAAGCACACACAGCACTGTGCTGTTAATCTTTCTTTGTGGTAGCTCAACGCTATCAGATCTTGCATTATGCATTAATAGATAGAATAGGTTAGGTGGTTGCTTAGTACAGCTGTTTGCTTTTTTTACTGATCTTTGATTTTGCATTAACCTTCCGAGCAGCATTTGCCACATCCCCTTTCTTCTGAGGTCTCCAAACGTCCCTTGAGCAGTCAACAGGTTCATAAAATAATTTAATTGGGTGAGCACAGCTCTTCTCTTCCTTGGCTTTCTTCAGGTGCATGCGTCCTTTCTGGAGAGAATGAGGTTTTGCATCAGCGTTATTATAAAAAGCATGCGGAGCTCCTCGTCTGCTGATACGAAGGAAAGGGGAGGGGGGAACGGGAAGAACAGGTCAGATTTAATAGATAACCCTGCAAATATAATATAAAGGATGAACAGGCTTAGCAATGTATTATAAAAAGTATTGTTTTATATTAAGGATACATACAGGCATCGGGGTTTCTTACTGGATGACATATCTGTAAACTAAAACAAAGGAAAACACATTATTCAAACTGACATGAGCAGATATTAAATAGATCATCCTTTATCTGTTTATCTTCAAATACTGCCATCTTATAAAGATTTACTCAGAAACAAATCCTTGCGCTTTGAACCAGGATTCTTCTCAAATAAGCGGGTACAAGACTGCAGCCTATATTCATGTTTTGAAAAATTGCTTTCTGTTTCAATAGCTATCTAGATGCAGAAATAAAATAAAACTGTAAACAGCAAAAACAATTCAGATTTTGAAAAACCTTTTCCTAGGAGTCGTCTGATCTGATTTGGATTTGCACTGATGAATTTAAGAATGCTTTTACATATCATAAAATCAGATCTGGATAGGCTTAGCATGGAATCAGTTTGATGGATGCATCTGATTAAAAAAAAGATGAAAAATTCCTATTCCTATCCCCCAAGTTTCCATTAATTTTAATAGAGGTAACTTCTCAACAACTGTGTTTGATGTGTGTTACTTGTAACTTCCAAGAAAGGCCTATAATGCAGGCTGTGTGTAATCTGGTGCTAATAAGTATGTGTAACATAAATTCAAATTCTGCATCAAGATAAATTGAATTCTGCAATCTTTATTAGATTAGTCCAACCCTATGCATGTTAATTCAGAAATTCAATGGTTCCCAAGAAGACATGCATAAATTACATTCTAAATTATGCAGATTGGGCAAATCAGCAGAACTGATTATATCTTACATGATTATTCTGCAATGTATGCAATCTGCATAATTTATTCTGGTACTACTACTATTATTCATGAACAGAGTTAAGGAGCCATACAGGGCATGGAAGGAAAAACCTCCTGGCCTCTGGAAACTTGAGCAGGCATTGCCAACATTTTTAGGCCCGCAATTATAGGCATAAAGGCTAGAAACTTTTGTTTTAAATTAAAACCAAGATGCTCAGGAACATGAGTCCTGCATAAATAGCCATTTCTGAGCTTCTCATGAATTATCAGACACAAAGGGGAGGGGGGAGGGAGGGGGGGAGAGAGAGAGAATTCTGCCTGTACTTGAAGTATAAATGTTGCAATAGACAATATACTGACCAGCAGGAATTTACGAAGTCCGTTGAAGGCATTCCTTCGTCTGGCATGCCTTTCAGAAGTGTTGCTCAGTTGGTCCAATAAAAGGTATCACTTTTTTGTTTCAAGCCACAGCTTTGAAGGCATTTTCTGGTGAAAGGCTTTTCCGTTGCTATTGTGCATCTCCTGAACTAATGAGCAGCCATGGTTCACTTGAGATAGTGTGGCGGTATCATGCAGAACCCATGGGCGCCCTCCCTTACCCTGGCTTATAGCTCCCTCTCCTTTAAAAGGGGCATCTGATGCTTCAGATTAAACTCAAGCTGTAGAACGAGAAACGTTTTTGTCCGTGACATGGAGGAGATACGCTGAGAGGTATCATCCCCAGCGGGGACGCACGCTCATTTTCGATCCCACTGTCACCACTAATTAAGCAGATTTTCCCTGTGTTGAAAAGATTACTGAATCCTGCAAAGGCTTTTGAACAGCAGGTGCAAGATGGACATCATCATCATCTTCCCTAACTGTCTGATGCCCTTGAAATGATTTGAAAAGGCACTTAGATGTCCAAGAGCTATGGAACATTGGACACATACAAGCTTCTCTACACAAGACCTTGTTGGGTGGTCAGGAAGTCTGCGGGACCTTTGCAAGGCGTCCTCCTCTAGTACTTCTGAATTTTCCAGGCATTTTTTTGTTTCTTTTTAAAGGGGGAGAAACATCAGGGGTTTTCTTAGATGCCGCCACCGTTAGCTAGAGACCCAGTCTATGTCTGAGGTGTTATTCTGCACTAGAGCGCCACCTTGTGTTGTACAATGGAACACAGAGGAGCATAAAGGTGCCCTGCCCATTCAAACTTTGGGTGAAGAATGCTCTAATCCTCCTGCAGAGAAAGCAGAGGAGGCAGCCTCGGTAAAGTGCTGGGAAGCCCTACATATCACCTCCAGTACCTGAGGCCATAGGACTCCCTGCCATTTTGTTCTATCATTTATTAGATTCAGATCCCACCTTTTCCTTACGAACTCAAAGAGGCTTACAGCAGTCTCCTCCTGCTGCTCTCAATCTTATTGCCACCACAACAACCCTGTGAGGCAGGCTGGGCTGAGAGTCTGTGACTGGCCCAAAGGCACCCAGCTGGCTCCATGGCCGAGCGGGGACTAGAACTCAGAATGCCTGAGTCCCAATCTTGCACTTTTAACCACGACACCACTCTGGCTCTCAGTGGCTGACCACAAGTGGGAGGATGCCACTGTGCTTGTAATCTCACAGGGGTGCCTCTTCCCTTTGGGACAGCTGGATGGCTATCTTGGGAAACAGCTTCTAGGATTAAATAGGCTTTTGGTCTGATGCTCTTGTGCTCTTATGGCAGAATTGCAGAAACTCAGACCCAGGACAAATCCAGCCTGCCTGATCCCGCAAGGTTCCCCAGATCCTTCTCCAGAGCCGCACACTCTTCCCCAACCAGCCACTGGTTTTGTTGGCTTTTGAGAAATATTATGTTTCTGGTGTTATTTCTCTACCACCCACTGGCCCAAGCTCTGCGGGTCTTTCACAGCAATTAAAACCATAAAATGCAAAATCAAATAGCCTAAAAAGGGTTTTAAGCTCCACCACAAAATAAAGTGAAAGCCAAAATAAAACCTAACATCAGTGCAAAGATTTGAAATTCAGCAAAGGATTTAAAGCCACCCAGACTGAAAGACTAAAACTTCTTGGAAAAATAAGACACTCAGCCTGATGCTGGCAAAAGCACAATGCACGTGCCAGGTGAGCCCCCCTGGAAAGTTCGTTCTGCAAACAGGGGGCCACAGCAGAAAAGCCCCTCCTCTCAGTAGCCACACACCCTTATCCATTTCAACCCTGCAACTCAACAGGCAGTCTCTTTCCAAAACAGCTCTTTATTGCCAATTCACTCACTAGCAAGCTACAGCTACTGGAAGACTAGTCTCTAAGCATACACAGACTGATTTGTTATGAACCGAGAGGAGACACTACTTCTGAAAACCCCTCTTTTCAGTATTAATGTGCTCCACCCTCTGAGAAGGACTAACCTTCTAACTCTACGCAGGCCATCTGTAACTGGGTGGCTCTTCTGTCCAGTGCTGTGCCACGGGGTCAGGGACTGGACAGGGAATGGGGTTGACTTCCTCCTCCCCTTTGTCCCCTTCCTTCTCTTCCAAGCCCTGCCTGTTCCCATGCTCTATCTGAGCACGTGGGAGCAACAGCGTTGACCCACGCACACCCTCCTGTACCCTCTCAATTCCCACACTCCCCATTTCCCAGCCTCCGTCATCCTCATCCACAGTCTCGGTGCAAGCCTGACTTTGGAAGGCACCTCAAGAACAACTGCTTAGTCCATTCCCAACACTTATTTCCTTGGACGGGGCTCAGGCATATATGGGGAGAAAGAAGTCTTCAGGTTATCTGGCCCCAGGCCAGGCTGGGAAGGTGTCAGGATCCGAAGCCCTGGAACAGTTCTCCAATGGCATGAAGCTGTGCGCAGCGTGATTAAACCCACGAGACTCAGCAGCACCAGGACCGCAGCCGCAAGGGCTGGAGCCGGTCCAATCCTGCTCGGAGCTCCGGAAGACTGCTCAGCTTTGCCCTCTTTGCAGCGGCTTTGCGGCTTGCTCTGGCCTCCAGCCTGATTCTGAATCTGCTTTTTGCCTCTGGTCTGACCCGATCTTTCCAGGTGCCCGTTCCTTGCTTTGGCCTCTGGTCCTGCCATGTTTGGCTCTGCCATCCCCTCTGGTCCTAGTGCAGCATGCCGGGTTCTCTATCCACTCCTGGTCCTGGAGCTGCAGCCACAGGTGCCTGCCACCTGCATCCTGGGCCTGACGGGAAGGTTGGCTGACATAGTTATCAAACACACCAGCTGTCTTGGACAAGCCACTGCCTCTTAGTCTAACGTACCTCACAGGGATGTTGTGAGGATGAAACCACAAGGGTGAGCGATCCATGCTCTCTCTCCCTCCTCTCTTCCTCTCTCCCTCCCTCTCTCTCTCTCTCTCTCTCTCTCTCTCTCTCTGATTCCTTGCAGGAGGTAAAGGATTTAGAAAAGCAATAATACCTGGATATCTCACAGCCTTATTAAATAGCACAGCAACGGCTGCTTATGCAGAACATGAGCTTAAAATGTAAATAAACCATAAACCCCAGAAGGGGCAGTGGTATTTTAAAGTACTTACCAGAAAGCCCTGAGCAAAGTGTCCATTCTGGTTGCATCTGTTTAATTACAATCCCGTTTGCACTTCCCTGGTACAGCAAAGTGCAACGTAAGAACAGAGAGACTGCCGTTTTCTGCTTACCATGTATTCGTGGACATCGCTGTAGTCCTCTGTGCTCTTCTGATTCTGGTAATATTCTAGCTGCTTTTCCGCCAAATCTACCCGCTGTAGCAGATTCTCAATAAAGTGCTGGAGCCTGGCCTTGCCCCGGACTTCCTTTTCTGCTGCTTCCTCCAGGAAGTGATTAAAGGTAACCACTTCTCTGCAATGACAAAAAATGCAGCTCTGTTGGAACTGCTGTTGCAAAGAACCTGGCCTTTCTTCTTTTAATTTGGAAGAGTCAGGACTACAGGTATAGCTGTCATCAGATGCAACATCACCATCCCAGGATTGCATGGTACGTCACTGAAAAAGCAAACGGCACTGCTTGGCCTGGCCAGGTAGGCGCTGCTTCTGGAAATAACAATCCAGGGGACAAAGATAAGATTCTCCTCCTCTTTGTGCCGTGTTTTTCCCAGCCTTGATCTTGCACCAGCAGCACCAGCCAGGCCTCTGTGAAGTGGGGGTAGATTTCCTGCAGAAGGGAGAGACTTCCAGTGGCAGGGTGGCTGTTCCGCCAATTTTGAAAAGAGGAGTGGCATATAAACATAAGAAGTTCCAAGCTGAATCGGAACTAGGGTCCAACTTGTGTTCCCGTTGGTGGCAACCAGCCACCCACCACGGGAACACAAATGCTATAAGCACATGCCTTCATTTTCCCCTGGCAACCGGTAAACAAAAATATACTGGCTGCAGACAACACAACAAGCCATGGCATTTTTTTTACAAAACCATTGTTAGTCTGTTGTGTTGCCTGAATCCCAGTCATAGTACTTCACCATGGTAAGTATGGGGACTTTGGGCCAGTCACATATCCTCAGCCTAACCTACTTCATAGGGTTGTTGTGAGGATAAACGGAAGAAGAAAAGAGTTTTGTAAGCTGCCTTGAATCCCTTCCAAGAGGAAGAACAGCTGGGTATAAATGTGGTGGTGGGGACAGATGCCTTCGAACAACTGGATGCTTCCTTTAAACAAACACACCAATTGTGGGAGAGAGAGCAGAGAGCAGAGCAGATGGTCTTGTGAATTGATCCTTGCAGGGATTCAGGGAACAATAACACAAACTCAAAACTGGCCTAGGACCTATCTGCCAGAATACTCCACCCCATGGTGATGGTGTTGGTACTTGAGGCAGTACTGATTTCTTGGTAGCTTTGCTGGGCAACTTCATACCTAGTTATTGTACTGATGGGTTTCGGACAACCACAACAACATGTTATTTTAATGGAAAATGCTGTTAGCTATTTTAATGTTGTTACAACTGTCACCTTGGGTTCTCTCTTTTTTAAAAAGAACAGGAGCTAAGAAACCAATCAGTACTACTAACAAGAAGCCATGCCGGCACATTTCACTAGTCCTCATGCAAAACCCTTGCCTCTTCTTTCTCTCTCTCTCTGAACAGTAAGTACTCTCTTCCAAGCATAGTCATCTGTTTTCCTGACTGTAAGCCATTCTGAAGATGACTCAGTGGCAAAAAAGCTGCATGTATATTGACATGATTACTATTATTATTCCATGCGAAGGCCTTTCCATCTGGCTAGGCACTATGAGAAAAAAGACTGCACCAGATAGGCCTTTGATATGATTCAGTAATGATTTATTGATTTATTTAGATTTCTAACCTGCCTCATTAGCCATATGGCTTCCTGAATGGGTTATACTTTCCCATTGTTAAGTCGCTGCCACAATATACATTGCTTCGCCTACCTTAAATCCCATTTGTCTCTCCCCGCCCTGCAAACCCCTGGCCCCACACACTTAATTTCTATCTTATCCGTAAGATATTTCTCTGTCTCTCTAGAGGGAGAAGCAGTGTGGTGCAGTGGTTCAGAGCACAGAACTGGGACTCAGGTGATCTGGGTTCTAGTCCTTGCCTAGCCATGCAGCTCACTGGTCAGTCAAAGATTCTCGGCCCAATCTTTGGGTTGTGGTTTTGAGGATAGGCGTGAGAAGAAGAGGAGAATGATGTAAGCCACCCTGAGTTCCTTGAAAGGGAGAAAGGCAGGATGTGAATATAACAATGCATAAATAAATACGAAAGCATGTCTAGGCCATTAGTTTCATTGCCTTGAGAAGAGAAGACTGAGAGGGGACATGAGATCCCTCTAGAAGTACCTCAAAGGCTGCCACAAAGAGGAAGGTCCAGATCTCTTCTTGCTGATGTCAGAGTGTAGGACACAGAATGATCAATTCAAGCTGCGGCAACCCAGATTCAGGCTGGACATCAGGAAAAGCTTCCTCACTGTCAGAGCAATATGACAGTGGGACCAGCTGCCTGAGGAGGCGGTGGGCTCTCCCACACTGGAGACATTCAGAAAGAAACTGGACAGCCGCCTGAGTGGGACGGTGCAACGTGGTGTCCTGCAAAAGCAAGGGGTTGGACTCGATGGCCTTCACGGCCCCTTCCAATTCTGCTATTCTATGTTCTGTTTCTTTTAAAGCCAGCAAAAGAACAAGAGCCTGGCTCTAGATGGAGGATACAGCACAAGATGGGTGCTCATCGCTGCATAACAAGCCCTTTCCAGGAAAGCTCAGATTCTCCGTGGATTTCTTTGCAGGGCCTGGCCGTCCCTAAGCCCCAGGGCAGGGCTTGGCAAGCACAAGGCAGGCAACCAAATGCAGAAGGGAATAAATCATATTCAGAGAACATGGTATGCTCAGCTTTTAGCGTTTGCAACATTTCCTGAGCAGGCAGCCACGATGACTTCGTTTTTCTCTTGGCCCCTGTGGAAGCCAGTATGTAAACACAGCAGTTCTTTTATTCAGTTCCAAACAGGATGGGGCCTTTCAGCATCACATGAAAATCAGTTTGGCCAAAGGTCTGCATAATGGTACCGTGTATGTTTTCAGCAGAGGACTCCACGTGCCGGTTCCACATGGATGTCCCTCCAGCATGAGTGGGAAAAGGATCAGGACACGTAACCCTGAATATGTCTACTCAAAAGGGTCCCCTGTTGAGTTCAGTGCTGTTTAATTCCTGGCAGGTGCCTACAGGATTGAAGCCCAGCGTCTGCACAGTCCAAAATATTGCTTGCACCTGCCCGAGCAATGCGATCTTGCTCTGGGTGCCACTGTATAAATGGCAGGTTATGCTGAGGCATCTCACTGCTTCACAAGTGCAGCAGAACCACATGGAACGTCCTTTAGTTACACATGCAAACGCACGCACGTAAAGGCACAAAGCCTCCATCAAGGAGAACCTGGATTTATTGCAAAAGATCTTTCTGAACTGTCCTAAGAGCATGCTTGTAAACAGACAATTGGCTGATTGGCTACGGACAAAAAAGATTGCAAATATTCACTCACAGAAAGCAAGCTGGTTTTGCTTTCAGGCCATCAGTGTGCATTAGATACTATTATGACTTTGCATTTATATCCCTCCTGTTTACCTCTTGTGAGGAACCCAAGGCAGCTTACATAGTCTTGCATTCCATTTTATGCTCACAACAACAACCCTGTGAGGTAGGTTTGGCTGAGGGTCGGTGACTGGCCCAAAGTCACCCAGTTGGCTCCATGGCTGACTGGAGGCTAGAACCTGGATCTCCCCGGTTCCCAGTGCAATACTCTAACCTCGTGCCACATTCACACAGGATATACTTATTGGTGGGCAGAAGGACCAAAATATGATGGACACAAAAGAGCATGGCTGCTCCCTCCTACCTCATCTTCCTGCTTCTTTTTCTATGTAAGCACCTTATCTGCACTTATCTCCTGCAACAGAGGGTCCTCCTGGACTATTGGTTAATGCAGACAATAAATTCAATTATAAATAAATGAACTGTGGAAATCATGGGTGTGCCAGTGTTGAACTCAAGTACCACTGTTCGTGTAGGGAAACTGTTTATGCCTGTTTCCCAGTACTAGACTGCTTACAGGAAGTTCTTCACCTTGTCTACTTGGAAATTAGTCCACTAAATTCATTCCTGTGGAGTTAACAGTGCTTAGGATAGCTGATCTAAACCTCCCAGCTATTGGGCTGGCCAATTTTGGGAACTGCAGCACCATGCATTTAAATGAAACATCTCAAAGTTGTGTGAATGATGTGAATGGTGTTCGCAAATACTATTATGACAACAGATGCATCATCCTTCATTGGGTAGCGACTGTCAGTGGGAACACCAGGGAGTGGCCAGACAGAGGCTGAGATCGTAGAGTGATCCATATTTAAACAATGGGTTGGCAATTACTGCATTTTTAGTGAATACAGTACACAACTATTTTTAGATGAGCTGAAATTGCTGACATTCTTCTGGAATCTGCTATGAATGCTGGCAGGAAACCAAATTATGATTCTTTCCCAGACAGGATCCTCCAAGGTGACTTTTGCAGCACTGACTTGCTATTCAACTGGGGAAGGGGACTACTTGGGACCAGTTAAAATGTGGGACTAAAACTCAGGAGATCTGTGTTCTAGTCCCCACTCAGGCATAGAACTAACTGAGTGACTTTGGACCAGTAATGGACTCTCAACCTAATCTCCTTTACGGGGTTGTACTGAGGGTAAAATAGAGGATATTGTAAGTCACCCTGGGTTCCTTTCAAGAGGTAAAAGGTGAGAAATAAATGTAATTCAATAATACTTGGAAACAGCACCTTTCTCTCTAGTCCTGAAGTTGCAATGCAGAAGAACAGAAAGAGCTTCTGCATCAGGATTCCTGAGCCTCTTTCAGCCCAAAGGTCATTTTGGAGCTGCATTCCAGTGATGCGCAGGTCAAACAGCAAAAGCGGGTGGCCAAAGGCAAACAGCAATGGGTCCAAACTTCCAGCATGCTGTCACTTGATGCTCTTGATTCCAAAAATAAGCCCTTTAAACTTTCAGTAGGGAGAAGGCAGCATAAAAAGGCCAAAGGATCAGTGATGGCAGGGAATGGGATGCTGTTGTCTGGAAAATTCTAGAGGGCCAGTTTGGTACTCTGGTGAGCCTGTTTCTGTACCCTCACTATGTGTATTTATTTGTAGAAGAACTTCCCCCTCTGCAGGTCATCCCAGAAGATGACGTGAGGGCATAAAAGTTTCACCCTGGTTAAAAAGTTCTATCAAATTCTTTTGGATGACTTTGATGATACCTGGACTTGAATTTTGGCATCTTGAGGCATGCCTTCTTTTTCTACTAAAACCTGTGCTTCAGAACCAGTTGCATACTTCCTTAAGTGGGTAAGAAGGTACAAAACAGAGGTGTGGAACCTACAGCCTGTCTGTGGCCCAGAGTACCTCCGGCAGCTCCTCTCCTTCAATCCTGAGCTGTTTCCTATGAAAGGCAGAGCCACAGTGTCCCAGAGAGCAGGGAAAAGAAGAACACTTTGAAAGCACTTAAAATCTCTTAGCCACTGTCTTTCTTAAGCTCATCACCCCAGTGGCATTAGCCCATGATTTGCCTCAGCCCATGTCAGGCACACTCCAAGGTCATGTTGACTTTTCCACCTCCCATTGGGCCAACTGAGGGTTGCTACACGACATCTGAACTTGGACAGTATGGGTTACTTTTGGCTTAAACAGCCCACACCCAACTTGTAATTAATTACATCTAGAAGTGCACACATCTGCTCAGGTAGTAAGATTTTATTCCTATTCCAGTATGTTTCCCAAAAAAATGGGAGCATACAGTGTTTGGACTACAGGAACAGGTTTTGGGGAAGGAGAAGGCAACCATGGCAGAAGAAAAAGTAGAAGGCACTAGGGAGAACTGGAAGGTTCAGAGCGACTTCAACAGAAATGGGGCAGCAAATTAATTTCTCAGACTTTTCTTTGCAGCCAATAGAACCAAAAAACTGACATTCTGTAAGCCAAAACTGAGTTGTTTCACGAAGCCAAAGAGTGACAACATGACATGTGCTGACACAAGGCATCTTTCTAGTGCCCTGTATATTAATATAGAGGTGTCTCCTAAAGCAGAGGTGGCCAACCTTTGTTTGGGAAAGCGAGTTGCAAGTCCAGACCTAAAGAATGAAGGAATTCGCTAAAGCACGTTGAAGTACATGAACTGCCCACACGCTCTGGAGAATGGACAGGAATGCAATGGTGGAGTGGCTGGAGTGGTGTAGTGTTGATGCTTTATACCACCCTCCCTCTATCTGGTACCCTGTTTGACTATTGTCTATGCTGGCTGGGTGATGGAAACTGTAATCTGATACATCTGCAGAGCACCAGGTCCGAAGAGCTGGTTCTGTATGGGACCTGGGCCCACAAGAAGCAGCCTTGTTGTTCTGGTCCTACCAAATCTCTTCCTGCACACAAAGGAGCCCTTCCTGCTCCAACCTGCCCACTTACTCTTCCTTCCTGTGGAGCTCTTCCTCAGACTCCATCAGCCGCTGCTTCAGCACCGCAATCATCTCCACCGCGACGTCCACCTGCCGGTTGAGGGCCCTCTCGCGCCGCTGAACTTCCTGCTTCTTCTGCGAAAGCTGCACAAACGCAGCCCGAACCTCCAAGAGTTCAGCCGTCTTTTGGGCCAGCTCTTTGGTAAGCTTGTCGATCCTCTTTTCAATCGTTTTGTCGACAGCTTCCACCATCCTGTTAAACTTCTCTCTTACATGAGCCTCGAAGGAGGCTTTGGAGTCTGTGGTCGCTGCTGGCAACCCTGCTTTGGAAACCGGTTCGTCAGTGGACCCTCCTGACATGTAATTTGACCCATAAGACACCGGCCTTTCAGCTTCCACCTCCAACAGCTTCCTGTTCTTCATATTCTCTCGTGCCCCATCGCAGAAATTGAGATAGGACAACTTTGGTTTCACGATGCTTGTGCTGTCCCCAAGGTCCCCTTGCATCAGGGGCTCGGAAGAAGCGATCAGGTCCGTATCTTTGAGGGATGAAAACAGGCTGCATTTTGTCAGGAGGCCGCTGTCTTCGTAACTATGGTTGTACTCCAGATGGGCTCTCAGGGAAGAGAGGGTCCTGAATCTGGTATGGTCCCCACACCGTGGGCAACGAAATGGCAGGCAGACACTGACATTTTCAAACGACTCCTGCCAGGGGTATCTGCTTTCTTCAAAAGTGTTCTGTTGCATTACTTTCCAAAATTCCTAGAAAAAAGGGAAATAGGAACAAACTTGTTAGATTTGTTTTAAAAATGCCTTTTTGCCAGCCTTGCTCAACCTTGTATTCTCTAGATCCACTGGACTATAGTGCCCATCACCGCCAATCTTAGTGAGTTAATGGGAGTTGTAGTGCTCATCTCTGGAGGTTATCAGGTTGAGGCAGCCTATTTTTATCCTATGGTTTTGGACTTTGGCATTAAAAACAAGCTGGGAAACTTGTGGAACTCCAGGCATTTTGGCCTACAACTGCCATCATCCCTCTAAGGCTGATGGGATTTTGAATCCAAAACATCAGGAGGTACTGAGTAAGGGAAAGCTATTGTAGATGTTCTTGAACTACAGCTCCCATAATTCCTGACTATTGGCCATGTTGCCCAGGCTGATGAAAGCTTGATGCTGACAACTTAACATGACTCACAGGTTTCCAGCCTTTTAAAACTGGAATCAATGATGCAGCTCAATGAAATCTGCCTACATTTGTGGGGCAATTTAATTCCATTCCAAAATGTGCTTTTTGTGGGATTTAGAGAACAGAATTGGGCTCACATAGTAGAAAAGAATGCAATGTGTGGGAAGAGGCAATAATAGGGTGAAGTCATCCTTGCAGAGTGGTATAAAACAGGCTTTACCTTCAGAAAGTTCAAGTTTCTTTTACAAGCATGTCTTTTTGCAAAGGTTTCAAGTAGCAACACTAAAATACCATGGATTTGCCAGCTCCAGCACATTATTCCAGGACAGAATAATCTCAGCTGCATTCCGAACTATGTACATTTGCTTTAAAGCCCAAGTGGGCAACTTGTGCCCCTGCAAATGTTTTGACCTGCAACTCCCATCATCCCCGGCTGTTGTGAGCTAGAGTCCCTCCCTTTGCCCATGCAAAGCTACAGACCTTTCTTGCAAAATGTTCTTTACTGACCAAAGTGTTTTCCAGAAGCACAAAACATCCCGGGTGAATCTCTGAGCACGTGCAGAGCGGTTTGTTGAACCCAATCTAGTATTCACTTCCAAGACCTTTCCTTATGCATATGCCTGGGCCCCATCTCTTTGGGAAGCACCTTCTGGAAACAAACCCACCTCCTCTGCATGCAGATCCTCTAATTGGGCCAGCCTCCCTCCTCTGCCGAGGTTGCATCATGGGGTGGAGAACCAAATCCTTCTCATCTGTCTCTGAAAAACTCCCCCGTTCCTAGCTCCCTCCCCCTAACTGTACATCCTGGCTATTCTCAGAGGCTGCCTGCCCATCTGGGGAGCCTGGCCATCTCATCCCCACATTCCTCCCCCCTCCCCCCCTCCAAAGACCAGCCAGGCAGCCTTGAGAATTGTGTGCAACTGTCTTTCTCATTCCCAACATTGGCAAGGGCTGATGGGAGTTGTAGGCCAAAAAGCTGGAAGGCCACAAGTTGCCCACCACTGCTTTCCAGTGAAGCAGTCAATGAGTTCAAGGGAAGTGGAACACGTACATCTGAGTAAACATGCACAGGACTGGGCTTTAATAGTCTGACTCTGCAACAATAACAACACTCAGAAACAAAGCAAACTTTTGTAAATCACTTCTTTAATATGGCCAAAGCACTAGAAAAAAATGTAAAGAGAGCTGGAGCTGCACATTCTCTGACTGCAAGGATCAAACAAGGGTTTCTCTAGTCCAACAGTCCGTTTACAAAGTGATCAACCTGCAGCCCACATCCTGGCTGGGGAATGCTGGGAATTTTAAGACTTTGCTATATATAATCATGCATAGGATTGTGTCTGGTCTTTCCTCCACAGTAATGAGGGCTAGAAACATTAGAATCAAAAAAGAAATGTAGGCCTAGATAAATATGATCCAAAAATCAGTATTATTTTGTTGTGAAGGCAAAGCAAGCCAAGTAAATGCTTAGCAGCATCATATAAGCTGCTTTGAGTTTTCCAAAGAAATGGCAGGATGGGGGCACAATAAATGCTTATTATAAATCCTTAAGAACCTGCATTGGTTATCACGTTTCATTGTGGTCGTGTGTGTATGTTTGGTTTTTTTGTTTGTTTTTGTTTTAGGTCCACTGCTAGCTACCCTGAGCCCGGAAATGGGATAAAAACTGGATCAGTAACAAGAAGGATGATTAACTGGCTCATGGGATCATATATGTTTATAGGCTTTCTGGTGCTAACCATCCGGCAGATTGGGCACGACTCTGCCAAAGTTAAATGTTTCCCAGTGGGAGACCATGGGCTTCCCATTGAATTTACTTAAGAGTTTAATGTGCTTAACTTTGGGTTGCCCCCCCACAAAGGTGTCTTGTATGTAAAAACCAAGAATTCTGCAAATAAGGGGACATGCCGATCAAGGACAGTGTCAAACAAATTACAGAAATTACATAAATCCCATTCAAATCTCAACAGAGCAAATCACTCCAAGGCTGCCGCTGCCCGTTATCCTGCAAAAACGCATCCATTAAAGAGAGCAACAAAAAGATTTTTGGAACACCCAAAAATCAAGGTGCCATTAAGGCAAGAAATTTTTCAAACATGCCACAGGGAACATGCAGCCTTCCCAACTGCCCCCTGAGAACTGTGCTGGGCTGCAACCCATCATCTCCAGCCACTGGGAATGATGAGATGCGCAGGCCAACACATCTCTGCGGAGCGCCAGGTTGTGCGTGGTTTATACAGGTGCTGTCCTAGAGGTGACTGATTTCCTACCAGAGATCCCCTTTTATAGTGTCATGTTCGGGTCAAGAGAGTGGTGGGGTGCAAGGGTACTGGGGGGCCAGTCTCTCAAGTTGGGCAGCAGCCGGAAAAATAGGCCTCCTCGATGACAAATCAACTCCCTGCATGGAGAGCGCGCGCGCGCGGCGGGAAGCAGCAAGGTGAACGCGGGAAGCGGCGGCTCTGCAGATGGGCGGAAAAAGCGCGCGCGAGGCTTTTGGCCCATAAGGGATGCTGGGGGGGGGGGGGGCGGGGGGCTGGGGAGCAGCAAGAGCCTGGCGACGGGAAGGGTTGCGGGGGCGGTCTATGGAGGACGAGCACCGCCGGCCAGCCTGCAGACGTCTCCAGCGCAGCGGGCTCGCTTCGAGCCCCGGCCGCGCATTCTGCAAGGCTCGGCAGTGCAGCCCGCCTCCCGGCCGGCGCTGCCCGCCTCCCGGCCCTGCTCTCCGACGCCTCTCGCGCCGCCGCGCTCCGGGTCCTTCCCAGCCCGCTCCGCTGCCTGCCCGGGTTGGCCCCACGCGCCCCGGGGCCCCCTCGTTGCAGGCTGCGGCGCACAGCGCGGCGCTTACCCGACTTGTTGCTGCGGCGGCCGGGAGGCTGGTCGTGGTGGAGGCGCTGCTGCTGCTGCTGCTGCCGCTGCGGGGAAAAGCGGTTTTCAGCAGAGCCGTAAATCACGCTGAAAACCCGGCGCAGTCACACGCGCTGCCTGCGCACGCCCCTCTCGCCCACTCATTCACACCCGCAGCGAGGGCGGGCGCCTGGCGGGCGGGTCCGCTCCGGGCGAAGGCAGAGGGGGAGCCCGAGAGGAGGGGAGAGCAAGCGCGTGGAAAGCGGCGGAGGACGGCAGGGCAGGGCAGGCTGGCACAGTGGGCAGAGCCGGCGTTGGCTGGGGGCAGCTGCGCTTGGTTGCACTCACGGATCGAGAAACTCATCCTTCTAATCCCTTGGGAGAGGGCGCCCAAACTCAGTTGCGCCCCAGTGTGGGTCAACAACTGCCCGGATGCTATTTTTGTTGTCTTTATTTTTTAGAAAACTTCGCTGCCTGACAAAAACAGAAAGAAAAGAAAGGCCAGGGGGAAATGCTAGAAGAAGTCGTTTCTGGATGCATTTTGCACCTGCTCAGAGGAGAAAGTAGAGAGGAGTCATTTCGCTCTCTCTCCCATAACCAGGGGGCACCGTAGAAGCTGAAGGGTTGGAAGTTTAGATAAAAGGAAGTACTTCTTCAGACAACATATAGTTAAACTATGAAATTCTCTGCCACGGGAAGTGGTGATGGCTGCCAGTCTGGGTGGCTTTAAAAGGGGATTGGACAGGTTCCTGGGAAAGGGGCTATCAGTGGCTACCAGCCTCACTGGCTACAAGCTGCCTCCTTTTCCAGAGGTGGCCTGCCTACATACCGCAGTTGCTGAGGGGCTTGGCCAGGCAGAGGTCTTGCACCCATCCTCCTTGAGGGATCCTGTGGGCAGCTGGTTTGCCACCTTGTGTATGAAATGTTGGACTAGGTGGACCTTTGGTCAGAGAGGAAAAGCCAAGAAAAGCATGGGATTGAATACAAAAACCCAATGTATGTGGGGTTCAAGCCTTTTCAAGACAGATGAGGACTGGCAGCGGGGTGGGTATCAGATCTGTAACCCCATGTTCAGGGTTCACTAAGCAGCCTTGAACAAACCTACAGGGTTGTTGTGCAGCAGAGTAGGTTGTTATGTGCCATCAACTTGTCTCCAACTTAAGGCAACCCCATGAATGAGCCCTCCAAAATGTCCTGTCCTTGACAAGCCTGCTCAGCTCTGGCAAACTCAAGGATGTGGCCTCTTTTTTGGAGTCCAATCTCACTGGGAAAAAATTCTCTGCAATCTTCTTGCTTGTGTGATCAGGTTCTGAAAAAAGACACTCGTGTTAATTTGGGCAAGAGAAATGAGACTGTAAAGCATTGTGCAGTGTAAATGCCATAGATTATATTAATGTGATAACTACACATGTAGTTAAATTGTTATTTGAATCTCAGTAGTGTCAGAAAAAGTGAATTGGGCATTGTAAAATACATTGTATGCACACAGAGAGCTATAGAAATTCTTAATGATCCAGCTGAGAGGAATAAGGAGCTTTGTTTTAAAGTACCAGGCGTCACATGATTTGGGGGTGGGGGTCGCTCTTACTACCAGATCTAACAGTTGTAACCTAAGCATTTGGAAGTCTAGGCATAAAGACATATTTTTGAAAATGCCATGATCTGGATTTTATTAAAATAAGGAGAATGCTACTGAAATATTGGTCTGATTCAAACATCATGTCCCACTCTTCCAATTCAGTTTTGAGCAAAGGTGGGCATTCCATGGCTTGCCAGATATTGTTGAACTGCAGGCCCTGTGATCCCTCCCCACCGGCTATGCTAGCTGGAAATAATGGGAGTTGCAATCCATGAACATCTAGAAAACCACCTCCAGCTTAGAGGATCAGAAATATATTACAGACCTTCCAGGTTTCCTTTTGTCCGCCTTCCTCCACTCATTCACAGATTCCCTCTTTCCTAATTTGCCCAGCCAAACCATGGATGCAGAACCTCAGACTTGAACCAAATCCAAATCTCGGTGGTTCCTGAATGGCCATGCCTACTTCCCCTCGCCCTGTTCCTCCCCCCCCCCCAACTAATAAATGGTGGTTTTCCAACTTTCCTCCCAACCCTGCAATGCCTTTCCCAAGAGATAGTTACTAGTAGCAAGCTATTTAAGCTAAGATGTTCAGGATTTGTAGTGTTTTGGCCCTGCCTGTTCCTGGAATGCTTATTTAGAGCAAAATTCAGGCTCTGGAACTAGAAGATGTCCCAACATCCCCAAATTAAGCAAATGGGGGCTACTGGCTTTGAACACATGACTTGAAACCATTGTTTGATGGGAGTTTGCAACTAATGGTTCAAAGACAAGTATAGTTAGCATTGAACATGGTTTGCTTGCTTTGTCCATCAAGGCAAAGGACTGTTTGTGCATACTGAGAAAGGGATGAAGAGAAAAGCTATAGCATGACTTAGGGCCAATGCCTTGAATGGTATCCAAGGAAGACTCATTAAAATTAATATCATGAAGCAGAAACACACACACACACCACCACCTGAAAACCCTCCATGTCCAGGGAGATATTTTACTAATCTCCAAATACTCTCCATATAAACCTTTGGGGAGAGAAAGCATATAAACCAGCTAAGGAGTTTGTTCTAAAGAGTCAAAAGAGGTCATGTAAGTGACTTGAGTTCTGTGTAGCTTAGGGAAGCTACTCCCAAATGAAACTTTCAGCTCTGATCACCTTCTGTTTTAGCACTAAAATTAGTTAGCCTGTGAAGCAGAGCTGTTTGAACATCTTTCCACATGAGGTCCAAAATCAGTTTCCAAAAAGCTTGTTGGGGCTGCATTACAGAGATGGGCCAGCCAAAGCAAAAAGGAGCAATACCAGAATACCTTCCCCCAAAACTCAAGCTTATTTGTTTTTCTTACACTGTCCTTTTCTGCGGCTATATTTTAGGGCGATTCTTTTCCCATTTAAAACATACTGTTATCTGCTGTTAAGTTGTCTCCAACTCATGGTGACCCTCTGCCTTCAGCTTTTCCTAACAAGATTTTCCCCATGGAGTCCTGCTTTCTCATGATGTGTCCAAAATATGACAACCTCAGTTTGGTCATTTTTGCTTCTGGGGAGAGCTCTGGCTTGATTTGACCTGGGATCCACTTGTTTCGCTTTCTGTCAGTCCAAAGTATTTGCAAAGCTCTCCTCCAGCAAAATCTTTCAAATGCATCAATTCCTGCCAGCTTTCTACACTGTCCAGCTTTCACACCCAAATATTGTGATTGGGAATACAATGGTCTGGATAATCTCGATCTCCAGTAAAACGACCTTACATCTGATGATCTTTTATAGTTCATTCATGCTGTCCTTCCACGTTGCACTTCAAATTTTTTGGCTGCAGCTTCCCATTGAATTGATGACTGTGCTGAGGATTGTGAAATCTTTCACAGTTTCATTTCTTCATTATTAACAATAAGGTTCTGTAATTCTTCTGTGGATATGATCTTTGTTTTCTTAATGTTTAGCTTCAGTTGTGCTTTTGCACTTTGTTTTTTTACTTTTATCAGGAGTAACTTCAAGTTATCGCTGCTTTTAGCCAGTAGTATGGTATCGTCATATGCAGATGTCATATGCAGATATTACATTGTCATATGCAGATATTATTATTATGCAGATATTATTATTGTCATATGCAGATATTACATTGTTGATGCATCTTCTGCCAATTTTCACTCCTTCCTCTAATCCAGCTTTCCTTATGATATGTTTTGCATACATATTGAGCAGATAGGGGATAAAAGGTATCCTTGTCTGACACCTTTACCTATGGGAAACTATTTTGCTTTTCCATATTCTCTCCTATTAACAACCTCTTGTCCATGATACAGGTTATACACCAGAACCATCCATAGGTTCTTGTAATCCACACAGTCAAAATCTTTGCTGTTATCTATACAGCACAGACTGATCTTTTTCTGAAATGCTTTGGTGAGATTCAGTAGCCAACATATATTAGCAGTATGATCTCTAGTGCCTTTTCCTTTTTGGAAACTTAGTCCGCGTCAGCATTTACCCCAGTCGGCAAGCAGAAGCTTCTGCTCCTCTCACCATCTAAGGCTTTGCCTGTCCCAGGACTGGATAAATGCCCCAACAGAATGGACATTACTTAATCCTAAAGATGAAATGTCTCTTTGCAAGAGATCACTGAACATGGACTTTGTTGCTGATCTTAATAAGTGTTCCGGTTCATGTGGATGGAGATGCTCAATACAGGCTGGACCAAGACTGAGTTTGCCAGAGGTACTGACTTTTTTAAGCCCAAGGGCTGAATTCAAGTTTAGAAAAGCTCCCGGAGGCTGCCTTCTGGCATAGGTACAGCCAAAAGCAAAAGGGTTGGGGCTATAGTAAGTATATTTTAGCTTCCTGCACTACTTGCCAGTAGCTAAACCTAGGGAAAGGCATTTCAGCCTTTACGAATGAGGAAGGAACACTAGCTGGGGAATGATCAAGCTGTGCTTGGAGGGAAGAGGGTCTAGCCATCCGATGAACCGCTGGGAGGCGGACTCCAGGTGGCTAGCTTTGGATCGCTGGCCTGAGGCTCAGCTCCTCTGTTGCACGGCTTTAAACAGTTAGGCAATGTGGTAGCCTAAAACGGCTAAAGAACATGACTAATACCTGGCCTAATCATCAAAGCCACTAGTGAGCGATGGTAAGAATGGTGGCCCTAATTGTGCTTTGGCCTAGGAGTCAGAAGTTGCCACTGCTGAGAGAGGGTCATGCAGTAGCGAGATGGTTATAGGTGAACAGCCAGGAACAATGGTCTGAAGCTGTACACTTCTTTCTAGGATAGGAGGGGGAACAGTTGGAAAGTTTTAATGGTAGTGTATCGCTTGAATAAAGCCTATAGGCCTAACACATTGGAAAGCATGCAGGTGCTAAAAAAATGCCTTTGATGTGATTCAGGCTACCTCCACTAAATGATTCACCAGAAAGCAACATCAAAGGAAATGGTTTGGACTCCATCCTAGCGCTTCTGCTAATCCCTCGAGTGAATGGAGCCATGAGCCACGCTTCAACTTCCAACAAAAACACTTTCTGAATGG